ATGGTATATAAATACGGATAAATTTAGTGAGACATGAAAACATATTTCATATATAAAGATATATAAATCATGAAATGAAGGTCTATAACACACTATAAATGAAATGAAGGTTTATAAAGTCCATGTATGATTCATATACCAAAAAATGTCAACAAAAAAGTATAATGTTGGAAATATATAGATTGAAATCGTGTAATATAAGATGTACAACACAATATAAATGTATGAAATATAGTTTGGAATATGGTTATAAATTCTATATATGGTTTATAAACCAAAAAAAGTCAACCATAAAAGTATAATGCTGAAAATTTATAGATTGAAATCATGTAATATAATGTGTATAATACAATATAAATGTATGAAATATAGTATGAAATGTGATTATAAAGTCCATATATGATGCATATACCAAATCGTGTAATATATTGTTGGAATCAATAAATGTATGAAATATAGTATGAAATATGGTTAGAGTAATTAATGGGAAGAGAGAGAATAATTAATGGGAAAAGAGAGAATAATTAATGGTTAGAGTAATTAATGGAAAGAGAGAGAATAATTCGAGTATATGCAATATGTGATATGATTTGTAACAAATCGATATATATATATATATATAGATGTAAAGCCGAAAATAAATTACCAAAATGCCATTAATGAGGGTGCACACAACTTTCATCAGTCGATTTTTCAAGAATGCATTTACTTTTAATAGTATAGATTGGAAAAGTAGGTCATAATAGAAATGTTTTTGTCCCTATATACCTTTACAATAATTAGTCAGTTTTAGACATAAATATCCTCATAATAGTAGAAATAATTGTTAGAAAAGATACAAAGCTCAAAAAAATATGAAAAAATCATTACAATCATAATAATATTTTATATGTTTGGATAAAAAAAATAAACTTCAAATACAGTTTGGATGTGTTGATCTAGATTTGTAAGAACGTATATTATAACTCTTTTTATAAAGATAAAATAGACATTCTAACTTGTCTTCAACGTTTTATCAAATTTAGTATTTATATTATAGCCATTTGTCTATGATCTAGCTAATATAGAATACGTATGTCTGCGTTCTAACCAAGACACTTTATTATTTCAAACATACAATATATATTCTAGGTTTTTTACTTTGTTGTGAAAAATCTAGAAAACGTTTACATATGTTCTATCCTATATTCTATAATATATCGTAGATAGAATATCTTGTTCTTACTTTTATCATATGTTCTAAGTACTTAGAATGTTTATTATAACCTTCTATATGTGTTCTATCCCGTTTAGAACATGTATTCTATATTTTCAGTTATTTTATGAGAAAATCCAGGAAAAATCAGTAACTACCTTTTATTCAAGTTTATCTTTTTTTGGTCAAAAATTTACGGGGACTAGCGTTGAATTCATCCCTTCTTTGATTCAACGATCTTCTTCCTTTCTTCCTCTTCTCTATTTCTTGTTTATCAAATCAAATGGTTCTCATCTATGTTTCATGTGGTGTTTGGAGACGGGATGTGAATAATGAGTGGAAGTTCATTGTTGATAAGGAAAAAAAGGTAGATTACTCTCGTTGGAAGCAAGTACTACATTAGAGCAATTGAAAATGATGGTTTTGGAGGATTTTGGAATGGACCAGAAGATTGTTAGTGCTGAGTTGAGTTATTTTCCGAGTTCTTTGATGAGTAATTTAGGAATTCCACCAGTTGTTATTTCCAATGATCGCCAAGTTTGCAGTTTTATTGGATATACGAAGAAAAATTCATCCATCGACTTGTGTGTGTCATTTGCGGGTATGGTTGGGAATCAAAACAACAATTTTTGATCTGAATAAGGAGCCTTCTAACTCAAGTCACATTGAAGATGATGGTAATGTTAGAGTAAATCATGACACGTTTTGCCTTCGCCAAAGATGAATGATGATTTCAGAGGCAAAGCCAAAGACACTAATGTTCACGTTGATTATGGTGCTCACGGCTTAGGTTCAGAAATGAAGGAATACCATGAAAAGCAAGGTGATTTTTGGTTGGCTTATTGTGTAAAGAAGGATCAAGTTTTCAAAGGTAAAGACGAACTGAAATCAACTATGGAAATTTCTGCTATGAAATATAACTTCGACTACAATGTTGTTAAATCGACAAGAAGATGGTGGTCTGCTTTCTGTAAAGATCACAATTGTCGATGGAGTCTTCGTGCATAATTTTTAGCTGGATCTAGAAGCTACATAATCAATAAGTGTGTATCTGAACATACTTGTGCTCCTTCAAATAAAAGCAGCTATGGCAAAACAGCTTCCGCGAAGACAATTGGAAACCTGATCATGCATAGATACGAAGGTGTCAAAGAAGGGCCAAAACGGAACGGAATTGTCGAGTTTATGCGCAACGAGCATGGTTGTGAAATCTCTTATTCCCAAGCTTGGGAATCTCTTGAGTATGCAGTTGCAACAGCAAGAGGATTGCCAGAGAAAAGTTTTGGTAAAATACCAAAATACTTCCATATGCTGAAAGAAGCTAATCCGGGTACACATACTCACTACACAACTGAAACTGATGGTAGATTCAAGTATTTGTTTCTTTCATTTGGTCAATCTGTGAGAGGGTTCTACAAGGTAATGAGGAAGGTGATTGTAGTAGATGGTACTTTTCTTAAACATAAATACAAAAGAGTTCTACTTGTTGCTACAACTGTAGATGGTAACTCTAACCATTATCCAATTGCATTTGTGGTAGTTGATTCAGAGAATCATAATTCATGGGAGTGGTTTTCATGCAGTTGAAGGTTGTTATTGATGATGATCCTGGTTTAGCATTCGTGTCAGATAGAAACTCATCAATTGTCCAATCACTCAGCAATGTTTATCCACTACCAAAACATGGAATTTGCATTCATCATCTGCTAAGTAATGTGGTTAAGAACTATAGGCTCAGAAGAGTATCAGGGATGGTTGAAAGAGCTTCAAAAGCATATAGGGCTGTCGATTTTGTGAATATTTTTTATATATTTGCGGAATGAGTCAGGCTGTTGGAACATAACATCAGACCGCAGATGTGAGAAAATGGACTCATTGTTACTTTCCTGGATTCAGGTATGACACAAGGACGAATAATCCAGCAGAATCAATGAATTTGGTACTGAAAACCCCTAGGGAGTATCCTGTGATTCCTCTATCAGACAGTATAAGGGAAACACTTACAAGGTGGTTTTTTGAACGTAGACTGTTGAGCTCAAAAATATAGATCCATTAGCGATACAGGTGGAAAAGAAGATTGATAGAAGGATTAGAAAGGCTAAAAGATTTAAGGTTTTCCAGTTAATGAGTACAGCAGTCTGGTTAGAGGTGACATCTATGATTGTCTAGTTGATTTAGCTAGAAGAACTTGTACATGTCGAAATTTTGATTTAGGAAAAATCCCTTGCAGACATGCTATTCCAGCTATTTTTTCAAGAGGTATGGAGATACACCGGTTCACAGATGAATTATACACGACTACTGCTTGGAGAAGTGCGTACGAGGAAACCATTAACCCTATACATGTCCCGGAAGAAGAATAGTGTGTTCCTGAATGTGTTCAACATTCTAAGGTGCTACCACCTGAAACACGCAAGAGTGCTGGTAGACCAAAAAAGAAGAGATATGAATCATTTGAAGACAAGATACAAACGTTAGAAGGATCACAAAGTGCTATAGAGTACAAGTGCAGTCGTTGTGGTAAAGGAGGACACAATAGAAGGTCATGTAAGGTCGCAATCTAGTTAGATCGCAATTATTAAAGTCTGGTTATTGTTTATTTTTCGGATTCAGATGTGTTTGGTTTAAGATTTGTTTTGGTTTTAACAATTCTGGAGTTGTTGTTCAATTTGTTTCTTAGCGTAATTAAAGAGTTTTGTTATTACTTGTCAAACAAACCAAAAAAACACAGCTTTTAGATGGGGAAAACTCTTATGTCACGATGTATTTTCTGATGGTTCACACCTAACAATAACAGTGATAAGGAAACAAAATGGAGTGATCAACAATAGCATATATAGTCTGATGGTTCGCATGAGTAAGACAAACTTACCCAACCAGGGTTCGATCAACAACTATTGCATATTTTTGAATACTTTTATTAAATGCTTATATTAGTTTTATAAACTTGCGTAGAACAAATGATAATATATAACACTAATACAGTTGGTATTAGCTCTCTTTAATAAGTTTAGTAACGTGGGTTCGAGTGTCTGTGGTAGCACAAATTTTTTTTTTTACAGTACAATTTAACTCACTATAATCATTATTATGTCTTTTACCAAAATCAAAACTATTATAAACACAGACACAATTAGAATATATGTTAAATTTGATTTGAAACTAAAAAGTTATTAAAACAAATGTGAATAAAAAAAGAGAAAAAAACCAATAGAAATTTATATACACAAAGTGCACCACAATGTTCAATTTATATGAATATAATCGAGAGGATCGACTACAGGTGGTTCATACTTCGACATCCGATCCATCAAGTCTGGATCATTGGCAGCCTGCCAAAGATCAACCGCTATCTTATATCGACAACCCAAAATATTCTCATCATCAACCAAAGAAGTGTCCAGACCAAGTAGATGACATTCCATAAATTTTATAGCATATACTCCACAATCACAGCAAGTCTTGTTTAGTCTACTTTTCATTGGAACATGGACGCTGGAATATTGGGACGTTAAAATGCTTCTGGGTGTTGGAAGGCTGAACGCCTTCACATTCCGCGGTATCATGATAGCAAATTTTTTTAACTACATTTCGATGATCACCACCACTACAATCCCAAACCTCGACTTTTCTTTCATGGATGTCTATGCACATAGAGATCCAGTGATTACCATTGACCCACAATGGTAAGTAGATACAATCAATATCCACTCCCCAAAATTTTCTTGTTCTTCCATGAAATGGATGCTCACCTTTCCAATAACTTAACATGAATTCATCCATCACAAATTCTTTTTTGTTATTCTCAAATTTCGAGTATGATGTGTTGAGTCGCAAGCAGAACATACATGTCATGAAAGGTGCACGATCTGGTTTCCAACGACGCAAAGTTGTTTGCTCTCGCGCCACAAGAACATAACTGAATCCATATCCTGAAATTAATTACACAGAGCTAAAAATATGTCTCTAAATAATTATTCATATTTGTATATAAATAGTTATTGTAGTATTACTAACCTTGTTACTATGCCATTCTGTTTATTTCATAATCTGATTCGCCATAACCATATCAAATACATGAGGACCAATGTTTAGATTTCTGAAACAAAAGAATAACTCAAAACAATTCATCACATTTGAAATATTATTAAGCATACAATATAAATTTCAAGAAATAATAAAATACTTACATAGGTTTCATAGACCATTCGCTGAATTGGTTCCAGATCTTGTCAGATACAAATATCAATGGGGAATCAGCAAATTTATCCGGGTCTGATGGATCATCCGTCAATTTTACCTCTATTCCACGTTTTGTTCCCCAGTTCTCACCAAAAGAACCGGTATGTTTAGGAATTTCAACTCTGCTTGTTTGAAAGGAAGTAGAAGGAGTCCACCAAGGAATTGGTTTTTGGGCCTTTGAAAGAGGTGTTGTGTCAAAATCAGTAACGTTGGACTCTTGTGATAATCCTTTTCCTACATTACTCAAATACTCTTGAGTCTTCATGTTCATCTTGGTATCTGAACTTTGACTAAAATTGAAGTCAAAAAGATTCTCCGCCTCTCTTTTCTTTTCCTCGTGGAACATATCATTCTGTTAACAGAGTAAAGTGAATACAAAAAACTTGATTAAAACAGGTATAAATAACAAAGTGAAGTCAATCATATAAATCATACATCCATAAAACAATAAAAGATGGAAACAACCTCTTAATACATGTGTTCAATCTACAAAATACATTTATAACATTCACCTATTACATTTAACTACACCATTTTAATTATATATCGCACATTAAGGTTCCTTACAAGCCGAATATTAAGATACAAAACATTTTAAAACTTGAGAAGAAATTTAAAATTTTTTACTTATTCCGCTTCTATCGGTTTTTGGTGGCTGAGTGTTTACCTTGGGCGGTTCTGAGGATGTCGCAGCTTCTGTTTTACCTTGGGCAGGGTTGATATCATTCGTGAGTTGTTGTCTAATTTCACACTCCAAAGCATCAAGCCTCGATTCAAATTTCTGCTCCAGCTTCTCCCCTAATGCAGTGACAAATGCTTCAATCACACTTTGAAGGAATTTCTTCAAGTCATCATCATTCACAGTAAGTTGTGGTGGGTTTGAGCGCTCAAAAAGCAGTTTATGCTTCTGTTTCTCGAATCCATGATCAACAGCCCTCTTTTTACCTCTAGTAGAACCTGAATGTATGGAATTTGTCTCCTCACCATCTTCATTTTCCATCTCCACATCCGCCTCCTCTTCTTCCTCATGTGTGGACGTTTCCACTCGTTTAACTACTTTCCATACATGTGTACTCCAATCATAGTCTTCATTGATTAGCCCTTTCAGAACATCAACTCGACAGTCTTTTACATCAGGTCTAGCAGAGTGAATGTCGTCTACTGGGTTCCTATTTCCGGTCCAATAAATGTAAGGATAGATGTCATCCTAAAAAATATCATATATCATTAACAAAATTCTGCATTAGATATAAAAAGGCCTCAAAACTCTAGCTAATGTGAAATTAACTCACCGAGGATGTAATTGTCTTCTCTAGTAAACTTTTATCATCATATGACACCTTTGCCACTCCTTGCCAGTTAGAGCATCTTGGACCAGCTATGAACTCTTCAAAGCGTTTTGTCCCCAACAACTTCCCAACAGTCGGAATCGCTTCCATAGCCCAAATCTGCAGAGCATACAACAAGCCTTCTAATACATAGCTCTTTGGCGCCTTCAACATCTTATTTCGGTTCTTGAAGACAGACTTGAGAAGAAGATCATAACTGACACGACCCCATGCATATGCTCTAAGCTTCTTGATATCCATGACCACTTTTATGTACTCAAGTGGAATCACAGCTCCGTCAGCCCTCGCCAAAACCACACCAACAATCACACACAAATAGATCAGCCTGAACCTGTCCACTCGCCTCCAATCATCAGCACCAACTATATGATCAGCCCAAATCTTTTCAAGGGTTATACTCTCTTCTCTCCTCAGCACCCTGCTCCAAAAGGCACCATCATCTACTCATTCCTCAAAATCAATTTCTTCAGAAACCTCGCATTTAAAACCCGTTACTGTGTGATACTCTTGCATAGAGAATCGTAGTGGCCTCCTCGCAAACTCAAACCATAACTAGTGTCTTTTGTCGGTTACCAGTTGCCTGAACAACATGCTGTGTATCATCCTTGCAGACTACTTTAATTTGTGGCAATGAAACGCCAAAATATGAGCAAACACGGGATCCATCTCCACTTCCTCATACTCATTTTTAAACCGAGACTTCAATTTATCTAAAATTCCTAGTCTGCAGTAGTTATTGATGTGTGAAACTTCAGGCTCAGACCCTAGGTTGAACAACCGTTTTGGAAGCTCAGAATCCATAACTTGCAAGCAAACAACAACAAAAAAAAAAAAAAGATCAATGCTTTACACCTTAAGAAACAAGATTCAAAGTCATCATCAATGATAGCAGAGAAGTGTGAAAAATAAACGAGCTCAAGCAAACGAGCTCAAAATAAACAAGATTCAAAGTCATCATCAATGATTTATGTTCACAGAAATACCAAGACGAGCTCAAGTAAAATAAGTGTGAAAAATAAACGCAAGACAAATGTAATGATCAAAGAGCATCGAACTCAAGATGTAGAAAGATAAACTAAAGTGACCAGTTTCTTTCAGGAATTTTAACGAACAGATCTTGTGCAATCGAGCACACAATGTCTAGCTCCTATGCGTTTATGAGCAAGAGCTCGATTTTATGAAATTCCCAGGATAAATTGATATACCATGGTTTTGACCCACTTTTGACCATGGTATTTATATGATTTTATAATATATTTATATGTTTTGGAGTCTATTAGGTATGTTTTCAGGCTCATGAGCATTTTGGAGTAAAGTGATGATTTAGGTGCCCTTATGGACTTAAAGGAGAGATTTCCCGAGATGACTATAAAGATCAGACAATAAGGTCGATATCTAGAGATACATATCGATCGATACACATCCTGTGTAATCGATCGACGACGCTTCCGAAGAGGATGACGAATTAAGATACTCCATCGATCGATGTACACCATGTACCATCGATTGATATGAAGCGTGAAGAACAAGTTTGACTCGGCCTTGAAGCCCAAGTTCTCTCAATATTACAAGATTTCTCCTGACGAGTTTTTTAACCTAATGGAACTCATATTTATATTTTTGCCGATGTGTTTTGGCTAGACATGCTTTTCATACCTTAGTACTTTTTGTACTTCAAAAGCTTTACATGCTTTTTATGTTCTTTGATTTATAAAAGTATTCTTTTCATCTTATTCTCATTTTCATAAAGGTTATAGAATTCTAAATTTAGAAGAAACACACAAAGAGATTTGTTGTTCAAAGAACCAAGAGTTCAATCTTCTAATCTAATGAATTTCTATTATTACCTTGCTGCTATGAATCACTTAGCCATGTCTGAGTAGATTCACTTGTTAGATTTAGGGTTCAAATAGTTATGAGGGATTAGCTCCAACTATGGATTGTTGAGTTGTGATATTCATTATCCTGATGAACCCTAATGCTTACTCTAGAGTAGCTAACTAGAGTATGATCATGGAATGATTTAACTTGTTAATCATCATCCTGAAATCATCTGNATCACTTAGCCATGTCTGAGTAGATTCACTTGTTAGATTTAGGGTTCAAATAGTTATGAGGGATTAGCTCCAACTATGGATTGTTGAGTTGTGATATTCATTATCCTGATGAACCCTAATGCTTACTCTAGAGTAGCTAACTAGAGTATGATCATGGAATGATTTAACTTGTTAATCATCATCCTGAAATCATCTGGTAGAAGCTGAGATCCTCTAGGGACGATGCGAGAGCCGGTCTATGATCTTGGTGAACACATATTCAATTCGATCTGAAGCTATATCGATCGATACTCCTATAGAGTAATTGGTCGACGGCTATCTATATCGTCCGATATGGCGATCATACCATCGGTCGATATTGCCAGCAGTCAGATCAATGGACGAGTCTAATAGCGATAGCTATAGATTTATCTAAGAATTGAAGTTCTTTAATATCTTGCAAGCAACTTATAAAGACATATATAGCATTATAATCTTGATTATCTGAATAGTAATCTTGAATCTAGCTATTTTCTTTTATTGTTTAAAACCTAAACCAAACTCTCTTGAGCAACTTACCATTGCTCACAACTGCAATTTACCTTTTAAACTTTAATCAACCTAGCATAATCACTTAGGATTATATCTTTTGTGTTCCTTAGTTCCTTGTGGATTCGATCCCTAAGTACTACAATTGAACCTCTTATTTGAGAGAGTAATTCACTCCTTAGGGTAATTTGAGTGATATCAAATTTGGCGCCGTTGCCGGGGAACTAAGATCGCCATTAGATTTAATTTGATTAGGTCTAGGTTATTTTTCTTTTTATTGCTTAATTATCTCCTGACACAAATTTTTTTTCTTTTGTCTTTCAGGTACATGCCCAGCAGTACTAGAAGCAACAAGAACAACCAACTTGTGTACTCAGATCGAAGATCCCCACAGTCTGGAACGTAGCATCCGCAAAGGCTTACGTTCCACATTGATCGACATCAACCATAGTTTGTCGACCGATATTCGCTTACCACAGTCGACCAAGACACCTTCTTCGTCGATCGATACTCACACCCTTCCAACGATCGACATCAACAACCGTTCGTCGACCGATATCTTTCACCCGACATCGATCGATATACCTCATCCTACATCGATTGATACTAACCGGCGAGACATGATGGCTCTAGACACAGCTAGTGAAGGCAATTTTACCACCAAGAATCCTCAAGAAGCTGTGAAGTTGATTGATAACTTAGCTTCAAGCAACAACACAAAGAACATTGTGAAGACAAAGGCTACATCATTCCTTGGGAAGGAACAGATTAATGAAGTGCAAGCACAGCTGGATCATGTTCAGAAGTTACTAAAGAAGAATATTTGCTCAGTGGAGGATGCAGAAACTGCAGCTGAAGAAGAATACACAGAAGAAGATGTGAACTGGATCAGTGGAGCTGGTTTTCAGAGGTCTGGAAACCAAGGAGGATACAGAAACTTCGCAGGACAGAAAAGCAACTTCAACCAGAGTTCACAGAAGCCTACCAACTACAGCAGCAGCAACCCCAACAACAACATGAGTTATGGTAACTCATTATACACAAATCCACCCCCACCCACCCAAGACAGTAAGCTAGAAGAGATGCTAGACAAAGTTCTAGAGAGTCAGCAGAAACTTCAGATGGACTTCAATGGAAAGATCGATTCTGTCTACACCAACCTCAACACCAAGCTTGATGGCTTGAGCACCTATGTGAAGAAGTTGGAGACTCAAGTGGTTCAGACAGGAGAAGCACTAAAGAAGCACGAAATTTTAGCAAAAGGAATGGGAGAGTTTGCTACTCTCAATGATGTGCATGCCATCTTAGATGATGACTTTTGGCAGAAGCTAACAGATTCTGAAGACGACGATGAGACAGACCTCGAACTCGAACTCGAATACTATCGATCGATAGGGCATCCTGAGTATCGATCGATGCCTTCCAAAGCACATCGATCGATAGACTTTGCCGAGTGTCGATCGATGGACTTAGCCGAGGCCTCTTACGAGTGCAATGCCGTCAAGATTATGTCACACGAAACCTTCGCAGCATGACACCCACATCCGCCCGTCGCGATCCGAATCGATTCTCATGACATCGATCGACATGATGACTACCCCATCGATTGACATGAAGACCACGATATCAACCGATCCACTCCAGTCATTGTCTATCGATACAGAATACCCCAACGTCGACTGCAACTTCCAAAGCTCGACGTTCCCACCATCATCATGAAGAGACCCACGAACATCTTTGAGCCCATGGAAACGAAAAAGGAAAATCATGGAAGAGTTCTCATAAAAAGGAAAGATAAGATCCCCAAGCCTTATAAAAGGGAAGCTAATGAGAAGGAATTGTCAAGTTTCAGAAAGAGAGTTCTAAGAATACCTAAAGAGAAACCCTTTGAAGAAGCCTACTTTTCACACAGATTGTGGATGTTCTTCAAAGAGACCAAAGAGACCAAAGAGACAGAAGAGACAGAAGAAGACATCAAGAGAATGTTTCACCAAGTCAGAGACAGTTTAAAGAAGAAGATTACACTAGAGAAGAAGAGTGATCCAGGGAAGTTCACAATACCATGTTCCATAAGAGGTTTTGAGTTCCCTCGTGCTCTCTGCGACACAGGATCTGGAGTTAGCATCCTACCCAAGATCATGGCAGACCATCTAGGTATGACGATAGAGCCCACTGAAGAATCTTTGATCTTCGTGGATTGTTCTCAGCAGCACTCTCGAGGCATAGTTCGAAACCTTGAGGTACAAATGAGAGATGCCCTAATTCCTACAGACTTCCACGTCCTGGAGAACAAGCTCACCCTCAAGACATCTCTACTGCTTGGTAGGGCTTTCTTAGGAACTGTTGGAGCTGTTTGTGACCTACAATCCAACAAGCTCTGCCTAACCCTCATTAACCCTACCATCCACTACAATCGTATTCCAGTCATCAAGTTTCCAAGGACAGAGAGCCCAGCACTCGTAGCAACTTGTTTTTGTGCCCACGAGTATGATTCCATGGCCGAGTATGAAACCGATCAAGCAGTATCGACCGATAGAAGTCTTATACCATCGACCGATAACAGTCAACCAGAGTCGACCGATAGACACACATGGTCATCGATCGATAGGCTATTCCAAAAGATCGAAAAAGAGTTTCCAGACGGCGATTTTAGCGAAGATGATTGGAGAATGATCATTACATCCAAGAACTAGCTAGTATCACTACCAGAAGGAGTATGATGAAGAATATGAAGAGGAACGAGCCACAGAGTATAGATTCCTTCGGGAAGATGAAGAAAGATCCCCTCTCCCATCCTTTACCTTCAGAGCATCAATCGACAGAGACCACACTCCATCGACCGATATGCCCCAACCCAGATTGCTCAAACGACGTTTAGAATCAACAAGCGACAACCCCTACTGTGCACCAGTCTACGTCCCACATGAGCCACAAGACGGAGATTACTCAACTGGGAGTTGGACAAGCAATTACAATGAAAGTTTCGCAGTGGATACATCACCCCTGACGAGTGCAATCGACCCAGAAGCAACCGTATCGGCCGACACGGAGCAACACCCATCGATCCACTCATCTCTCAGCCTATCGGCCGATTCACATGCCAATCCATCGACCGATCCTGCCACTACACCATCCGAGGTACAAAGACATAATTTCGATTTTACATTACTATTCCTGATGAATTTGATATTTTCAGGGATCCAGATGGCCATGCACGAGCAATGGATGGAAGATACATTCAAATCTCCAAAGAAGACGTTTCAGACATTCTTCAGATGACCAGTTCCGCCTATCCAAAATTTCAACACCCATCGATCAATATGTGGAGAATCACATCGACCGATATACATCGAGAACTTGGGAAACGAGC